ACAATTTTCATCTACATATTCTTTTTTATGCATTCAGTACGTCAGTATAGATTTTATTATTGAGTAATAAATGAAATATCTAAAGACACCAAAATAAAGGGGGTGGGTAAAAAAAGAAAGAAGAAGAAAAAAAAGGAAAAGCAGTGATCAGAAGCAGAAAGTGGCGTCCTTTTGGCTTTGTCATCATCATAAATACATGATATTTGTTGTGCACCCAGCCGGTGTGAAAGAGCTCCAACGCACAGCGCGCGCTCCCTCCTCGCCCCACGCGCTCATGGCGAACGCATTTTAATATCAGTTAGACAGCCTGRCCCGCGTTTCACCCCTTGCGTTTGACTGCCTCCAATAGTTCACTGCCAAGGATTATTGATGGAGGGACAGCGATGAATTCCTCCTGCCTTCCACAAATGGCTTTCAGATCGGGCACCTAGTTCGATAACTAGTTATAATGTAAAAGTACAAAAAATGGGAGCCTCGGGCGGACCCAATTTGATGTTTCATTTGTTCATTTGAGAGATTGTTAAGCTCCACCTTCCCCACCCCCCACTTTAAAATGTACAAGCATGTTCACACGTGTACATATGTAAACAGAATTAATCAAGAAATAAAGCATGGAGTCGCTGTGGTTCCAGCTGACCTGGATGCAGCTTCGCCCTGCTCCCTGATGAAAGTGGTTCAGATGCGCTTTTAATCAAACCCCTTTAACCTAATAGCCTTCCCACGTTGACTCTCCCCAGGTGTAATAACGTTATAGGCTGGATAGTCCAGTTAAAATACAAAAGAAGTTTTAATAATGAAGAGGATGGAGGCAGGCTGGAGACTAGTTTGGATATGAAAGCTGTAGTGAAAGGCAGCATAGCCAGGGGAGCTGTGGTGTTTTTTTTTTTTTTTTTTTAGAAAACTCGGAGTCTCCCACACAAACCGCTGCTTGCTTTTTACTGCGATGTTGTGGCTCTTTAAACAAACAACGCACCGACCCCTTTTACCTCTAAGACCGCAGAAGTTTGCAACAGGACTGGGCTTTTTGGTTCACGTTAAATGTATTATTAGTTGATGGTTTAAACTTTCCAAAGACTTTATTCATTAAAGACGCACAGATTAGGACATTTAACACCAGGCAAATATTTCAGCTATGCCAGTAAAATAAAAATAATGAAAGAAGATGAAATTAAAAGTTTGATTTGGACTGAAGTCTGGGCGATGCGTCACACTTGCTGATAAATCCACAGGCGCGTTCATTTTGACCCGAAGTGTCTGAAACAAGAAAAAAAAAGGGATTTTTAATTAAAATTATACTCAAAAAAGTTTTTAAATTGTTGTGGCT